CCCTTCTGACTCACTGGTCCCTTTAAAATGCTGCGTTCAGGTGCACACTGCCACTTTCTAGGCTTTTCTAGATATTTTCAACGCTGATATGTAGCCCTACACGTTTTTTATATTTGATTGAGGATCCTAATAAAAAAACGAATTGATCATTGTGTTTTTCTATTCACGATTCTCGGGAATATCCTTTCTAGTGATTTGAAAGCCTGAAAGGATGTTCACAGATGATGTGTTTCTTATCTGTGATGCAATAAAACATATTTGGTTCTTCACTCCAAAAAGTTATTAAAATCATATGACATTGAAATGTTCTTTACAATTATTCCACTCATTATCAGTATGCATCAGGTAAGGCTAACATTCAAGGTTCTTCATAAGCTTAGCTTTTGACACTTTAAGTACAATTAGATAATATGTGACTTATACTTAAGTAAGTAAATACACGTTTTACACTGTGGAATTAGTAGGGTAAGTAAATAATATAAATAGTTATCCCACCTGACCTTTGTCAACCAAAATATTTGTTGTAGTCTTACAGATATAAATTATATTTTTTTGAGTTTTAGTTTTTTTTAATGTGTATTTTATATAAAAATCGGGATTTAACACTGACACCGATCACATAAGTCAAGACATAACCAATTTCAACGCTCACGTTGTCCTACGATCTTATCACTGATTGTTATGGGCCGTCCCTGAACGCAGCATCAGTAACCAGCCGCTTCACATTCGCTGCCCTGTGAGTGACGGAGGCGGAGGTTTGATCGGCAGGGGATCTGTCCAATCAGCGCCGCCCTGTGATCTCCGAAACCCCGCCTCCTGCTCTTCCTCCCCCAGCTGCTGCTCTACGGAGCATTCCTCATCTTCCTGGGGCTCGAGAGCAGAAGAACGCGGCGACGAAAACCAACCGAACCGAAGACACGACGGATTCAAATCCCTTATGACACTTACCGAGGGCACGTAAGGTTAGTTTTAACCTCTTTCTTCTGCTTTATTAAAAAAAAATCCTCATGTTTAGTCCTAAAACTTGGTTTGAATGGAGCTAGTTTTTCCCTTCTGAAGTCCGTTAAAGGGGGTTGGGGGTTTACTCAGGGGTCCTGGGGAAGAATAAGTATGATGGAGTGACATTGTTTTTATATTTGACTACTATAAAGCGAAGAAATGGTTGGAATAGGTTGTTTAATCATACATTTGAGTTTATTTGGTAGTACATCTCTCTGTTAGCCAGGCTGCTTTTAATCTCCTCACTTGGGGGTTAAACTCTCATCAAATGGGGCTTTATGTGGTCCCATCTGTTATTTGAGAAAACATCTGAGAATATGATCAAACTAATAGACAAATGTGTCTCTGTAACGATGAGTAAAGTCTCTCAGTCTCACAGTGAGTCATACACCAGTTTTAATGTTCACTTTGAAATGTGAATGTAAAAAGCAGGTTCACCTTGAAAAACTTGTACAGATTGAGAATAATGTGTCTGTAGTTGAAAGCTGATTGATTGAAAATGAATGAGAAACTAACTAGCCATGGTGCTATTACATAAACTGGATGCAAGGTTTATTACATGGCAGTGCAGCCTCATGGGATCCTCAATGTGTCTCAGTGATCCCAAGAAACAAGCACCTGGTTTAAGATGCTACTAGCTAAGTTTCCTTTTTTTAAAGTTAAGAGTTTAGTAGACAGCAAGTCTTTATGACTTTATAAAATGACAGATGCTTGTGTGTCTTAAAGCTTAACTTAATAATCAATTATTTGATCTACAGAAAATGTATAACAATTAAAATGTTTTCAATTATTAAATTATCTTGTTTTATTTAGATATTAGTCCATGTTTTTACATTGAATGAATGATCGATAATATAAAGAATTAATCAGACTTTTAGTTTTTTGTAATTTTGTTTGATTGAGACAAATGTTATGTGGCAGTGTTTTCACTCTCTCTCTTCTACTTGGGTCGTGTCTCTTGTCTTAAAAAGTTGATAACACTTAATGTAGACGATTTTTCTAATATGACAGAATTTCCATTTGGTAGAAATACACTTAATACCGGTGCCATTGTAGAATACAAAATGTAAATATATTAACATTAGCTGCAATACTGCAAAAATATGAATATAAAGTCAATCAATGCATATTGGCGTAATGTGATGTACATCAACCTTGAATGTTAATCTATATATATGTGTACCAATGTAGGTCGATGTTGGGTCGCGGTGTGAAGCGGAAGTGGAGCTGCCTGGAGGAGCTGGAGGCCGAGGCCCGCCCTGCTGCTGCAGAGAAGGAGAGGGATGGGGAGGAAGGTCAGGGAGATGAGGACGGGTTCCTCGTGGGTCCATCCAAATCCGCCATGAACCACCTGCAGCAGCGGCAGCTCGTGCTCGGCCTCTGCATGGAGAAGCTCCAGAGCTACCAGGCCGGCATGGAGCTCAGCCTGCGACGCTCCGTGCTTCTCATCAACACGCTCCGGCAGATCCAGGAGGACATGCAGAGCGACGGGACGGGGACATCGGAGACGCTCCTCAACCACACAGACTCTTGCCTTCTCAGGGAGGACATGCAGGTTACGTGCCCTGGGTGTACAGAGGAGGATGGGGACAGCCTTTCTCCACCGCTGTCCCCTGAGTTTCCTTCCCAAGAGGCAAACAGCTCGCCAGACCAGCAGAAATCACTTCCTGCTGCAGCGATTAATACTTTTAGTGATGCAGTAAACGCCATGGGCTACCTCAGCGACCTCGCCCTGGACGACATCTTCGAGGACATTGACACATCAATGTATGAGACTTCAGAACTGCCTTCGGCCTGGTCGGCGGGCTCCCTGTGGCCCATCAGTGTGTCGCTGTGGACAGACGAAGACGTGAAAATGCGTCCTCCTAGCCTCCCATCGGCTGGGAGTCTCCAGTCGCGTCTGATGGACCTGAACGAGCTGGACCACATCATGGAGATTCTGGTAAAGTCCTGATCAGCAAGATGAACTCCTGAACATTTACTGCACACAGTCAAAGAGTCTGATCGCAGCTGAGGACCTGACCTTCAATTTTTAAGGCACCGCCTGATATTTGGGTTGAAAAGGCGATTTAAGCTTCAACTGGATTCAGTTCATTCCTATGCAAATAACTCTTCTATGAAAATCCATCCAAAATCTTAAGTTATTTGCATGAACATGAATATTTATAACAATAGATGGAGAAACCATTTTAAATATGTTTAGGAAACACACACTTTTACATTGTCTTGGTTGCTATAACTCAGGTTGCCAAACACTTGACGGCACCTACAGGTTTTTCTAGAAGTCTCATTGGAATTAAATATAGGAAAACTTAAGCTATCAAATAATATGGTTGACATTCAACAAGTAAATGTTATTTCAAACAGACAGA